TTGTGTATATAAATATTATTAGTGTACTTTAATAGTTGGTGATCTATCAGAAATTGCGTAAAAAAGTCTTTTTTTGGCTTCCAGAAAGGGTCTTATAAGTCCTTATTTCAACGTGTGTCTTACTACTATGAACCCTGTGTCACGCATCTAAGGATATCTGATAAAAAATAATACCTAATATACCTAATAACATCTAATAATTATTTAGAAAAGTCTTAATTACTAAGGCTAATCGGTCTTAATTACTAATCGGACATAACGCCGGCGTGCGCGCGCGTGTTTCGCGAGCCTGCTGACTAACATCACCGCATCCTTCACAGACCAAAGACGTCGGCTAAGCCTGCTGGATACGCGCGATCTCACAGCATCGCCGGCGACATGCACGCGTACGGTGGCGCCACCACCGTCGCCGGGGCGGAGAACGGCGACGAGTCGCAGACGACGACGCCCGTCAACAGCGACGACGACGCCGTGCTGAATCGCGTCAGCCTCATACACAGCCTCAACAGCAAGTTTGCCGAGTCGCTGCAGCACAGCACAGCGATGACCGGTCTCCAGCATCCGCCAGGTCAGTCGCTGACCCCCGCCCGACCCTGTCGGGGCGTCCGCCCGGTCAATTGCTGACCCCCGCCCGACCCTGACGGGGCTTCCGCCAGGTCAGTCGCTGACCCCCGCCCGACCCTGACGGGGCGTCCGCCCGGTCAGTTGCTGACCCCCGCCCGACCCTGACGGGGCGTCCGCCCGGTCAGTAGCTGACCCCTGCCCGACCCTGACGGGGCGTCCGCCCGGTCAGTTGCTGACCCCTGCCCTGTCCCCACCTCCTGCTCCACCTTGATACAGCATATGCTAGGACAGTCTCTGACCCCTGCCCTGTCCCCACCTCCTGCCCCACCTTGATACAGCATATGCTAGGACAGTCTCTGACCCCTGCTCCGTCCCCACCTCCTGCTCCACCTTGATACAGCATCAGCTAGGACAGTCTCTGGCCCCTGCCCTGTCCCCACCTCCTGCCCCACCTTGATACACCATCTTCCAGGTTTATCTCCAACTCTCCTCTCACTATATGTAAACCTTCCTCACTCCGTTATACATCATCATCCAACCTAAACCTTTATTAATTTAAATTATAATTATTATAATAATTATTATTAATTATAATTAATAATAAATAATAATTACTTAATATTAATATTTATTATTATAATTAAAAGTAAGCCGTACTACGTCTCAACGTCTCGCTCGCGTGTCTCACTCTCGCCAGGTGTCTCCCCACGTCGCTCCGTGCACACGGAGGAGGACAGCGATGAGCTGCCGCCCCCGCCGCCCGACGTCCAGCTAAAGATTGACCTGCTGAGCCAGATCCGCCACGGCGTCGAGCTCAGCCACTCATTCACCAACGACCGCTCCGCGCCCAAGATCATGATGAACCAGTAGCCGACCCTGCGCCGACCCCGCGCCGACCCGAGACGAACCCCGCTGTGACCTCGGGTCGACAGCATCGGTGCACGGCCGGCGAAAAAGCATCGTCTTGTTTAGTGTCGTGGCGACGCGCAGGGAGGCATCGCGGGCGGGGGGGAGGGGGGGCGAAGCCGTCGGCTGCTGTCCCCGAGTCGGGATTTTGTTTCGTTTGTTATGTTTGTGATTTAATTATTGTACAAATGCGTGTGAGCGAAGTTTACTCTGTGGGAGGAGGAAGCCGCGACAGTCGGGGTGTGAAATAGGAACGGACGCAGGGTGAGGCCGTCACGGTGGATGCAGCGTGTATTATATCTAATAGCTAATGTATAATTAGCGAGTAAGTTAACTAGAGGTATGTTTGTTTGAGAGCAATGCTTCTACACGTGCATACTTACAGCTGGTAGATCCACCTCCAGTATGCAAGCTGGTGTAGAGCATTTGCGAGTGTCAAGATTGTGAGTCTCGGGGGGGGGGGGGGGGGGGCTGTGCAGCTAATGTTCGGATAGCTTTGATGTTCGTAGCACTATGGATTAGTCTACAGATCGTCGATTTGATCAGTGTTAATTGTGAAATGTGCGCTGTCATTAGCATGACTGGCGAGATAAAACGTCGCATCTGCGTTGACAGGAGCATACGTGATAACTTTTCGGAGAAATTAATTCAGCTGGACATTAGCTGACCCATGCCCCGCGTATTAGCGTTCGTGCGCGAAACGATATACGATCGATGCGCGAAATTGATATATAAGTTCTAGTTTAGTTTGATTTGTTTATGTTGATCGCAGAATTGTGCCTAGGGCAGAGTTGTCTATATTTAGGTATGTTATACAGTGTTTGCTGCACTAAGACCGTTTGTGGAGACGAAACACACCCTTAGTAGTTACCGCTGTTGTCGCATTTGTATTGTATAGAATGTTCTCCGTTTATGCTATACCCAGTAGTTAGTAATTTATTTTGCTTCATGCGTTTTCTTTATGAATGCTGCGGTTGTTGGTTTGTGGCTGGCCTGCCATAGTGTGGTGTTGCTGGTGCGCTGCATCTGTGACGGAGGCAGTGGGTGCCACACTAGCCAATCGTAGCTATCTGCTGTGCTGTACATCTGGACAGCAGTGGGTATATGGTTAGCTGTAGGTGTGGTCAGCTATGGTCATGATTAACTGTAGGTGTGGTCAGCTATGGTCATGATTAACTGTAGGTGTGGTCAACTGTTGGTACGGGCCACTGTAGAAATGGTCAACTGTAGTTACAGTTATGTGTAGCTACGATTAACTGTTGGAATGGTCATCTGTAGGTATGGTCAACTGTAGCCATGGTCAGTCGCTGGTACGGTCAACTGTTGGTATGTTCAACTGTAGGTATGGTCAACTATAGAATTAGTCTGTTGTTACGGTGTGCAGTATTGCCCTGTTATAGCTTACATCAGATAGGTAGTACTTCTCACCTTATTCTGTCTGGACTGTGCATGCTAGAAAGCCACCCGGAGTTACTCACCTACACACTACAATTATTGACGCTTAACCTGGCTGAGAGAAAGAGGAGGAGAGAGGAGAGAGAGAGAGAGAGAGAGCAAGCATTAGAGAAAGCGCGAGTGAGAAAGAGGAAGGGTGGCGAGCAATAGAGAGCAAGAGCGAGAGCGAGAGAGCGAGAGAAAGTGACAAGAAACAAAGGCTGAGACAACGACAGGGAGAGGGAGAGGGAGAAGGGGGGGGGAGAACGACAGCGTAGGTTAAGCCATGGGGTATCTTTTGTCTTCCACATCTTGCACACAGCATGATTATGTTGGATACAGCATATAGACGGAGTTGTGTGCTACTTGTTATCGAAATGGCCTTCTATGGACCGAATTCGTCTGCTATTGGCCTGCCAATCGTAATAATAGTGATTATTCGATCCATTCCTCACCATAAGGACTTGTCTAACCCTTTTATCCGCATATATCTCCCTCAGCTAGCTGGCGCGGGAGTCACGGCGGGAGGCTGTCTAGGGCTGTGCTTCTTAAACTATTTCAATGGCATTTACCCTCGAGTCTTTATCACAAAATTTCATTCACCCGCGACTAAATTTCCTTGTGTTTTTGGCAAGTTTCATTCACGTCAAAATAATTCCATTCACTAGTTTAAGGAGCACTGATCTAGGGCACCGCGCCTGCAGTCATCTATGCGAGTGAAGCCCGTGGCGCGGCTGTCTCGGCTGTGCAGATGTGGCCGTGACGAGGGAGGGATGTGGCCGCGACGAGGGATCTAGCGGTGCCGGGGGGGGGGGTTTATACATCCGCTAGTTGGCTCGTTACTGGCGCGAGAAATAAATACGGCTTCTTTAACTGCTTCTAATTAATTTGATTGCATTAGAATGCGTTGCTGTCGGCAGCGTGGGGGGGGGGAGCGAGGTTGTTTGTTACTGAGCGAGTACTACTCGAGGGTACGCACCCTGCTGTCAGAGATGGCGCGAATAGTTATGCGACTACTGTAAGTCTATCGGTCTTTTGCACCGACACCTGACGTCACTAGTTATGACATCTGACACCAATGACGTCATTAGTACTTGTGATCACTTGAAAGTATTTTCTGATAACGGGCCTTTGTCTAGAATAATGCCACCGCACGGCAACAGTCATGGGCGCGGAATGAGTACAGTTGCATTAACTACTGTGCACTCGCACCTTCAGTATGCAGTATGTCAAAAAAGCCAAGCAGGCATCTTGTATCAGTTTTTGTTTTGTATCCGGCAAACCTGCGGCGCGTGCAACCCCATATATATATATATATATGTATATATATATATGTATATATGCATTTTCTACACTACGCGTCACTGCATTATGTAACTCGTATTAGTATACGCTCTTGATACGATGGTTTGTAATATATATTAAAATCATTTATAATAAACGCATATATATATATATATATATATATATATATA